GGTAGTTTTAAGATTTAGATTTTAAACAAGAAATCAATTCAGACCCATCTATGAGCGCCGCCTGCCTCCCTATATGAAGAACTACAGTTCTCTGTCCTGAACTGCTGTTTACTGCTGCACCTGGCATTATACCATGCCACCAACAGTCTCTCACTATTTCAGTTCTGAAGTGTATCATGAGGCGAGCAGCAATAATGTCTTTCCTTTAGTTAAAGGGATCTTCTTCTTTTACTTTCTTGAAACTGAATCTCATCCCTTTCGCTTGTCTCCAAACCGTTTCTTTGTTTCGTCAATGGATAAGTTTGCAAACATTTGGACTTTCTGTTTAGCTCATAATATTAGGAAATTCTCTGCGCACAATATACTTCTTGAAATCACAAAATGCATTCTTTTTTCTGACACGCTGAATTTTTCGAGGCATTGAAACTTTCCTCCGATTTTCTTCAGTATTTGTCAGTCCTTGTCTATGCGTTTCACCGTCCATTCACTTCTGTCAACTGCTTTCGCCGTCTTTAGAAATTTTACTTTCCACAGCAATACTAAGTAATTTCATTATTCTTCCCTTCATTGTAGAACAGAAGGACGCTACAACCTACTTGCCCCCTTCCGCTGGGTTTCCACTATGCAGACGTCACTCATGGATATTTTCCACACTTCAAAGATATGTAATTACTTTCTGTACGAAGTTGTACAGTCTTGGGAAGGGAACTGATCACATCATTAAACTGTCATGGCTCATGTACACTGAAACTGAAATTAGACGGCCAACCTGCAAAGACAGCCTGGCAGCTAACGTAAACGCGAACTAATGAGTGGGAAACAAAGATACCTCACTTCAGTGGAATCGGCATGTTCTGTCCAGACAGATAATAACAGTAACTGTCTGTCCATCTATGGCTCTACAGCCCTTGTGGACCTTGGCCGCTTTTTCAGTTCCTTAATCTTATACACAGTCGGTAGGACTCCTTGGACGGGGGATCAGCCCGTCGCAAGGCCGCTACCTACACACAGAACGAACAAACACAGACATCCATGCCTCGAGTGGGATTCGAATCCACGATCCTAGTGTTACAGCGGGCGAAGACCGTTCATGCCTCAGACCGAGCGGCCACTCTGATGGGCAATATTACCTGGCTACCAATACTTCACTCTATTGCACCTGGACCACTCCTCACACAGCTGTACGCATTTTNAATGTCTGACATTACTTCACGGCCTATGAGACCTACGAAAATTCATCTTCCTGAGTCCTTTGTCCAGTCATCTCTCTTACGTCCAAACACTCTCATTAGCACACCAAAGTTTAAATCGCGGACAGTCAAAACGGGGCGGTTCTTCAGCTTCGGCGGTGTGCGGGACACCAACAAATTCCTCACCCTCAAAAAGTAACATGCTAAGAAATATAACGTGGGGACTCGGACTTGCAACTCTTTGGAGCGGTCTAGAGAACAGAAAATGGATATCAAAGTTGGAACTGGAGCTAACCGTATCATTTGTATTACAGCCTGATATGGATATGGATCAAACTTTATTGTACAGTTTTTGTAACCAGTAAGAAAAGCTATAGATAAACATTTTATCAACTACACAGGTTGCATAAAGTCGAATGAAGGGATGACTATATAAAACACTTAGACAGTTTCAACTTACTGTCCCAGAAACTGCCTGGTGGAAACCAGGGGGACAATTACAAAAAAATTTCAGCGTGATAGCCTGTCTCGCAACGAGTATCGAACCACAGGTATGTTGAATACGGAGTTACAATGATAACCATGACACTGTATCTGTTGCTGCTACCGCTCTCACGGAAATGCATTAATGTAAAAAATAAGGGGGGGGGGGAAGAAACAAAAAATTAGTTAAAATAAATATAAAGGAGAAAAGAATAAATAAAGCTAAGATGAGGATAAGAAGAGATTAAAGAGATAAAAGCAAACATAATGGAGGTTATAAAGAGACCTAGCGCTTTGGCATTGACACAACGTACATCTACAGCAAGACTTCCTCAAGTATGCAAAATATGAAACAGGACTCTCAAGGGGAAGTTGAAATGATTTCTGAGATTATAAAAATGGCAGGTTAGCCTATAATGACATTAATCATTATTCACTGCCACTACATTAATGCCTGGTGCCTCGTAGCGGATACACAAGACTACAGGTCCGTACCAAATTGGGGCCTTTATGAATCTAGTAACGATAATTAATCTCACCATCATAATCGATATTTGAAAGTACCGCAAAGGGTAGAAACGAAGTGGGAAACCCTTCACTGCAGTGGCGGGAAAAGGCACAGAATGATTTACGGGAGGAAGAACCTCGCTGAGGTGGATGAAAGATGTAGAGAATGATTAAAGAGAACTAAAAGTGAACAGATGAAGGATAAAACTGAACAGAATAATGGGTATCAGTGCTTACGGAACCGTAGATGGGAGGGGAGTTGGCATGACTGTCACGCACGCACGTGTTCAGTTTACGCGGATTAGGCTCGCCTGTTCTTCCTCAAAATTCCGATACTATGAACATTTGGTATGTTTCCTTGGATGACAGACTGGCACATCGCAAAGCCATTACTAGGGAAATACAACGCAGAAAGAAAACCGTGAGCATGCGTCCATACCTCTAAGTAAGATTTGCACCTGCGATCTATGCCTGCGAGCTGTGCAAAACAATACGAGTATGCACATGATCAGCACTAATTAATGTCTACAGAAAGTAATGTGAAGATTTTCAAATCAGATTCAACCCCGCTCCGTTAATCAAGCCAGTTATTTCAGTTTCCGCAAGCTCGCACTGAGCCATTACAAAACACATCAGTATCAGCTCCAGTATCATGAAGCGATCTCCTATTATTAAGATTTTTATTTGGAAAAATTTCTACAAACAATGTAATGTCACTACAAAACCAACAGCAACTAGAGAGATGACTAGATCCATCGTGAACCCAATAAAAGTCACCTTTGATATCGGACTGATAATGTCCGAGTCCAGACTCCATTGCTAAGTAACTAAGTGAAAACACAAATACCTTAAGCCACCACTAGAAGTGTGTCAGCAAATACAGATCCATTGAGATAACCTGGTGCTATGTAACAAAAAAATTTCTGATATGTAGTCGATAACGTGGGATTCTAGAAATGCAAGGCTACGTAGCGCACTGGTAAAGATACATGAATCTTCAAGGCTATAAAATATCAAAATTGTTTGATCTAAATGTCATTTTGAAACAAGAAATGTACAGAGCACTTCAGTCGGAAGTTAAGACGCATGGTTATATGGGAAGACAGGGCCAACATTAAAGTGGATAGATTATAAAGCGTAGTGACGATGGTGTATAACACTCAGAATTCAAGGGTTTTCGGGCTTAGTCCATCGCCCGGTATTCTAAAAACTAGAAAAATAACATCGTTTCGGAAATTGAATCTGTTTCCATCCTCAGGTGAGGGTAGAGACACCTACTCAGTTGGGCCCTTTAGAAAGAGCTAAGCTCTAAGGGACTCATCCTCACCTGAGGATGGAAACAGATCCAGTTTCCGAAACGTTATGTTCTCTAGTTTTCAGAATACCGGACGATGGACTAAACCCGAAAATCCAGGAATTCTGACTAAAGTGGGTCTTTAAGAAATTGGAAGGAATTCTGAATGGCTTAGGATATGGTGCAAAGGGTACGTCCCTTGTGAATACGGTAATGAACTTTCAGGTTTCATAAAAAGTGAAGAATTTCTTGACCAGCTGAACGACTATTAGCTTCTCAAAAAGGACTTTGTCCCATGGAGAAAGTCTCCACATATTTTTCATATGGTACGAAAAGAATGTATGTTCTCTGCATTTTCAAGTCCCCCCTCTTTTATAGAACAATTCCAACTGCATTACAAGGTGAAAAAAAAAACTACTCCAACACGCGGAAGAACAGCCTATTCCTTCAACACGCCCATCTTCACAAATCCAGACCATCGCGCTTAGAGAACGGAGACTGCTGAAAGATATGTACCGCATAGCAGTAAGTCCCTTATTTTGTGGCATTAGTGACGCTTATGGATAAGAAATAGCTTGATTGTAGATCTATGTGTGTTCATTTATGATAAACAAAAACGTTCCATTCTTGGACGAATCCATTTTTTATTTCCCTTGCTCGTCTAAGTTCGATTTTACAGGCTGTGATTTAAGATGACAATATTACCATATCTCCTGGAAATTAATTTGACTTAAGTGTATGGTATTTTAACAGTATTGCCATGTAATGCCGGTTAAATCAGCATCTTATAAAAGTGTGTGCCTGAGGTAGAAACCCGCATTTTACTGCCTACGAAGATTAGTAAACTGAATTTATATAGCGACGAAGTAAACCCTAGCCTTCCTACAAGGGAACTCGAATCAGATATTGTAAGTTACATGAAACTGTAAACTTTAACATATTACGTAACTCCACGATGAAGGATTCCCCTCGGCTGTGGAAACAGAAGATCCATTACAGAGTTCACAATGATCGTCACTCTGTAATATCCTTTGCCAGACCATTTCATTCCACAGCTAAAATACTTATTTCTTTACATCAGTTATAATTTTGGGGGACAGAACACCGTGCATTCCGTCGAAAACCCCAACATTTTGTCTCCATCTTCAAAGTAAAAGAAAGCCAAGGAACAAACAATCATGAAGCAACATGTTCCTCCGAAATGACGGCTGATTTTCAACGGACTGCACAGCGCTGTATCCCACAGGACAGACCTCTTTACAAACGGCGCTGTGAGAACCTCAAATCATACAGGCAATAGTATATTGCCACCTAAACCAACTTCCCCTACGTGATTTCTTCCCTTCATGTTTCCCGAGCAAAATGTTATATATATTTCTCACCCCCCCCCTCCCACCAGTTGCATGACACGCTAACTTCATCCACAAATAACTGCTGCAAGCGTGTCTTACCTCAGAAATCGTGTCCAACGAATTTGTTCGTATTTTATGGGTCACCCTGTTATACAGAAAACGTCAATGTCATACCTGTTGGTATCTTGTGCTGATGACAGAAAACTGACGGCCGGAGTCATTGCTACCTGCTTTGTCTCTGGCCAGTTATTGCTTACACCTTATACATGGCTGATGTTCACAAGTAGAAATCGCAGTGCCACTGTAAAGAATAGAATTATCCTGTAACCATCAGAGCCACTCCTCTTCCCCCCGCCCCCGGCCCCTGAACAAACTGTTGCACCACGTAGATCAACTGAACTTGGCGCTTTGCCAGGAACCGACAGACCTATGGCTCAGAAATCCACCAACCAGAAACCACGTTACGTAATGTAGAATTGAAGTGGGAGAGGAAATTTTTGGCAGTGGAGGGGTTGACGGGGAGAGGGGGGAACGTGGCATTCTGTGCAACGACCTTCGCCGCGGACGATGACAGTGGGGCAGAACCAAGATATGACAAAATGGAGTAGGATTTTTGGTGAGTGGAGGAGATGTGGGAGGGGCTAAAGAGACAGAGACAGAGCGAGAGGCTCCTGCAGGGGTTCTGTTGCATCGCGGCATTAACACCAATGACGTCACAGCTTTACCGCAGAAGCAGCAACACAAGCTGAAAACGGAACGCGAGGCGATTCAGTTTTTTACATTCATCTATTTACGCAGCAAAATTGGCGGTGAAACGAATTCCGTATCTCTGTAACATGAAAACTGGTCTCTCCTGTCGTTCAGTATAACGCAAAAACTTGAGCCGGAACTCACATCGATCTGCATAAACTAAAGTACGTATTTGTAAATGAATCGATTTATAGATACCGAAAGCCTAGCTAAAATGAATTTTGGAGAGACCGGCTAAACTCGCTCGATAAACTAGTATCATGACTCAAGTGGACTTGCAGAAACAGAGTGGAATGTTCAGAACGAGACTGAAACTCGAGTTGTACAGGTGACTGAAACCGATCTGCTGGTGTCACTCCAGCTGTTCAATTCTACACAGAAGCCCTACAGTAGGCATAAAAGAATTACATAACAAATGAACTAAAGCAGGGAAGCGCTTTTACACGTATGAAACCAAGGCCTTTAACACGGTTTTGCATTTCAAAGTGATCTGCGGCTGCATATGTTCGCCCTGACCTAGAATGGAATTGATTTTATTGATTTCTCTTTCCGTCACTCTTAACACCGCTACTGCTAGCGCCTCGATTGTCCAGTTTCCTCGAACTATCATAATTCTTGTGTCTTGCCGACAATACGTAAGCCTATTAGCAGTGACACGTAGACTACATTGTTTCCACAACACTAACTTACAATGTATTTTCTACGCTGTCATGCCCAAAGACTGTATACCTTGGGGGCCGAACAAGAGACAAATAAAAATATTTATTATTCCAGACAAAGGAAAAGAAAAGACCTTAGACGCTTGTTTATTCATAATTTCGACAGTTATTTCTGGTACCCAAGTAGGCCTAATATTACAATAAATGTATCAACTAACTAAACTAACATGGAGCTGATTCCTTCTTGAGCAGCCGAAAATTGTGCAAATTATCAAGAACTACACAGCATTTTACGGAGCCTGAAGGTTCATTACCGTGTTCACAAGAGTCCTCCATAGGTCCCTATCCTCAGCCAGATCAGTCCAATCGATACCATCCCATCCTATCCTATATTGTCCACTCGCCTACGTCTTAGTCTTCTTAGTGGTCTCTTTCCTTCTGGATTTCCCACCAATATCCTATATGCATTCCTCTTTTCCCCATTCGATCTACGCTACATGCCCTGCCCACCTCATCCTCCTTGACTTGATCATTCTAATTATACTTGGAGAAGAGTACAAGTTATGAAGCTCCTCAATATGCAGTTTTCTCCAACCTCCTGTCACTTCATCTCTCTTCGGTCCAAATATTCTCCTCAACACCCTGTTCTCAAACACCCTCAGTCTATGTTTCTCCCTTACCGTCAAGAGACTAAGTTTCACACGCATACAGAACCACAGGCAAAATTACAGCTTTGTATAATCTAACTTTTATGTTTTTAGACAGCAGATGACAAAACAAGCGGTTCTGGACTGAATAAGAACTGCAATGGAGGGACGCGAAGCCGAAGTGCCACATTCTGAACATCAACAATATGAACAAGTAGTTAGTTTCACGTTCAGAGAGCCTTAATCCTGGATATACATCACAGGGTTCCGAAGTTGTCTTGAACTTGGCGGCAAAGAGAACCCCCCCACCAGGACCATGCCACAGAGACTGACCATTATTAGGTTATATTTCCAAAGCTTTGTGTGAATCTAAGCTTCTTCTGAAGAGCTTCAATGGCGAACAAAATGATCCAACCGTACTCAACTCCAAAACAGAATCCGACCGCTGGGAAGAACATCGCGAACCTGCACAGCGCAGTCAACTCAGAACTCCTATACTTTACGAAACCCTCAGGCAAACTGCCGTCTTCAGAAGAGCCCACAATGAGAACCTATCCTGAAAGAGTTCAGTTCAACAGGTGGTTCATTCTCGAGAGTTTCTGCATTAAAATGCTGCACGCATTTTTCATTTCTGCCGTGTAAGCTACGTATTAGATAATCCGGTTCTCCTTCACTTGATCACTCTAATATTTACTTATGAATGGTTTAAGAAGCTCCTCATTATGTATTGTTCCCACCCTCCCATCACTGTCCCTCTCTGTAGGTCACAAACACATTCAAATCTCGTTTCCAATAACAACACGTAACAGTGTTCTTGTTGAGAAGCTGCTGTTCGCTCAAAAGCTTAACAAATTCCCCGTCTGTATGAAATTCCAAGGGTCAGTACCATGTTCAGAACATTCCACCATTAAGCCAGACAAATCCACTGTCAAAACCTCTCCCATTATGTTTCAGATCCACTTAAATATTCAAGAATGTGACGCCTCGGTTGCGGATCTTTTATACCCTGAAGATGGTGATACGTTCTTCCGAAACGTCGGTTAATAAAATAATTACACGGAGCCACATCCCAGAAGACGGCATTCTTCATAGTCACCGCAACGAAAACCTCAAATCTTACACTTATATCTTATTCTCCCGTCTACACAGAGATCTTTCAAGAAAGTTTTGAGATATTTCGACAAAAATTTTGTACGCATTTAAGATCTTCTGCATATATGCTTTATGTTCTGCCCGTCTCATTCTCCTCGACCATCCTATTAATGTAGTGANGGACCGAGCAATTGGCCTATCAGTAAGGACCTAGATTTATATTCTAGAGGTACTCGGTTCGAATTTCGGCCGAGACACCTGCTGTATTGAGGTTGTCATAGTTTCAAAAATATCTAAGGCAAATATCTGCGATCAGGCCTCGGCCGCTTCCATCTAAATTATAATATTTGAAAATATAAGTCACCCTAACATTCATCGCTATACAATCTAGCTACTGAAGGCATCGCAAAATATCCATCACCTCTACAGAAGATGGAATGAATTCTAGTGAACGGATTTGGTCCGGTGGCTGGCTTTCGTGAACACAATAATGAACATTCAGGTTCCATATAAAGCGGCAAATTCTTGGCCGGCTAACTACAAGCTTCTCGAGAATGGGCGGTGGGCCCTGCACTATGAAGGGGTTAGTCTTTTACTACCGCCAGTGGATCACCTGCCTCCAAACAGAATTTCGTTCGCGGTTT